AGGAATGCACAGGAACGGAGTTCCAGCTGGCTTCAGAGTTGGCCACGCCCACTACAGCCAAAACCTCTGTGTGTGTGGCTACAGAGGGAAGCTCTGGAGAGCGACACCTCCCCTGGTGACTCTGAGGCAGGTGGGCCAGGGCCCCCCTGGAAGGATCGGGGAGGAATTTAAATGCCTCCCCATGCATTCCCCTGCCTGTCCAAGGGCCGGCTTGCTGATACCTCTTGCTCTGAATTATTGCATCAAAATGTCTGTACTGTTGCAATCTTGAGTATGCTGTTCAAGTGTGTAAGCTGCAAATCTACTTTTGATTTATTGACATTCACTACAGAAATCTTATGCTCAGAGTTCTGAGTCTAGGACGCAGGGGAAAACATGAAATGGCTGAACATTGCGAGCTTTTGTACATAAATTGCTTTGTGTGCTGGTCAAGAACACGAGAAGGCACCATGACACATACTGAGGGCTATGTGTTTGTCTACAAAACTATAGTCTTTCTCCGTGGTCAGATCAGCCTACTATCTGGGAAGTCTAAATTCAAAATCCCCAAAGAAAATGTGCTGAGTGAACTTGGTCTGGACACACACTCTCAGCCTAATCCACCTCACTGGCTTGTTATTCCTCATCTAAATAGTTCACATTACTTTCCTACTGAGCAAGATTGGATCATGAGGGCACGAATACAGTGAAAAGGGGGAGGGAACCCAGTTGCACCCAGGAGAGCCACAGCATAGGAACATAAGAAGACCAACAAAACACACACACTGTAGCAAGGCACACAAAAGCTCATACCTTGGATAAAACTTTGTTGGTCTTAAAGTTGCTTTGTATTTTTCCCTTGCGATTGAGGCAGCCAAGTAAAGCAAGCTCTCCCTCCCTCCCATCCTTCGGTGAGGAGCCTCAGCCAATGGAAGGGAAGAACGACTTGCCTTTCTCTCCTGTACGACTGAGGCAGCCTGGCCAGGAAGCAAGTTCTGGCTCATTCCCTCCTGTCCCCCTGGAAGGGGGAGGGGGAGGAGCCTCAGCTCTTGTAGGGAGCAGAAGCTTGCCTATCGATCTCTCCTGAGTGATTAGAGAGTCTGGTGAAGCAAGCTATGATGCAGCAGCAGAACTGGAAGCAGGAAACAGCTAGTTCTACTGTGGGCCTGATAGAAGTCCTCTGGGGGCCTGATCCAGCCCACAGGCTGCACGTTTGACACCCCTGACCTAGAGAGAGCAACTCTACATAGGATTTGATGATCAGTTCATTCAATGCCTGTCATTGGGCTGCCTTTTCCCTGCCAGGGGATCCCCTGTACCCTTACCTTATCCCTAGTGTGTTTGAAACTTTTGTTCTTCCCGCTGGTTGAAATTATGAACGCTAATACACAATGAAATTCAGTTCCAGAATTAAGCTTCTTGCATTGATATGCATACTCGTATGAAGAATGGAAACAAGAAGAATTTACCTAGGAATCTCGTCAGTCAACACTAGATATTACAAGCAAGCTGCAAACTTTTGTTTGGTGGCATTTCTTTGGTTGTCTGCAGCCTGACAAGATTTATACTGAGCTTGGATTTTTAAAATTAAACTTCACATGTAAGCTGCTAACTTCTGTTGGGTGGCATGTTGTGGTTTTGCAGCCAATATGATTCCCAACAACAGAGCTGCACCCCTTTAAATCCAGAGACTTGCAGCCAATATGATTCTTAGCCATGGAGCTGCGATTCTAGGATTCTAGAGAGTGTTATTTTGGTTCATCATTTTGTCTTCCATATGGTGTATTTCATTTGAGTTTGTATATACATTAGTCAGTAAATAGTTATCACAAGGTTTCGTAAAATTAGCTTATTTATTAATCACATTAGAAAATAATTTTAAAGGTTTATAAACTTAGTATACTTATTAATATACATTTATTAAATATTCATTATAGCATTGGTTTATACACAGTAGTTTTTATTTTTGTTACCTCTTCTGTGGGTGGCAAGAGAAAATCATCTTAAAAATATCAGATGACGGCATGGCATCATTTCTGGAGAAAACCTAGAAGTGACATCGGTCTCCTGTAGGAATTGCTGGAAACTCTAAGGCTTTTCCCTAGAGTTTTCATCTATTTCTAAAGAGGCATGATGGCACTTCCAGGTTTCCCCCAGTAGTGATACCACATAATCACCCGATAGCATCATCCATGTCCCTGCCCCTCCCCTGACTCCCACCAGTTCCCCAGTTGTGCTTGGCAACCCTACCTGTCAGACTGGAAAGATGTGAAACCAGGGGAATTAAAAAGAATTTGACAGGCTGTAATAGAAACCACCTTTGGACCCTACGGTCCTGGCCAACTACTACCCAGTGCCGAACCTTCCGTTCCTGGGTAAGGTAGTTGAGAGAGCGGCGGGCAAACAGCTGCAGGTTTTCTTGGATGACGCCTCCATCCTGGATCCCTTCCAGTCTGCCTTTCATCCTGGCCATGGGACCAAGAC